TCTGGATTAAGAAACTATGAAATAGTTTTGTGGCCAGTTTAGTTTAGTTAGTAATAGTTTTGGGGCCAGTCTTATTTAATACCTTTATGAGGGGATCAAGCACACCCTCAGTAAGTTTGCAGGTGACACCAAATTGAGCGGGGTGTTGATCTGTTCAAGGGAAGGAAGGTTCTGCAGAGGAATCTGGACAGGCTGGATTGATGGGCCGAGGCCAGTGGGATAAGATCCAGCAAGGCCAGGTGCTGGGTCCTGCACTTGGATCACAACAACCCCAGGCAATGCTACAGGCTTGGGGAAGAGTGGCTGGAAAGCTGCCTGGCAGAAAAGGACCTGGGGGTGTTGGTGGCCATCCAGCTGAACATGAGCCAGCAGGGTGGCCAAGGTGGTTATCCTGACCTGTATCAAAAATAGTGTGGCCAGCAAGAATAGGGAAGGGATCATGCCCCTGGACTCAGCACTGGTGTGGCTGCAGCTTGAGTACTGTTCAGTTTTGGGCACCACAGTATAAGAAAGATATTGAGGTGCTGGAGTGGGTCCAGAGAAGGGCAGTGAAACTGGTCAGGGATCGGGGGAACATGTCTTATGAGGAAAGGCTGAGGGAACTGGGGTTGTTTAGCCTGGAGAAAAGGAGGCTGAGGGGAGACCTTATTTCCCTCTACAACTATCTGAAAGGAGGTTGGAGTGTGGTGGGTATTGGCCTTTTCTCCCAAGTAACGAGGAATAGGATGAGAGGAAATGGGCTTCAGTTGCACCAGGGGACATTTAGATTGGATATTAGGAAGAATTTCTTTACTGAAAGAGTGATGAGGCATTGGACCAGGCTGCCAAGGGAGGTGTTAAAAAAATGTGTAGATGTGGCACTTCGGGGCATGTTTTTGTGGTATTGGTAGTGTTGAGTTGACAGTGGGACTTGATGATCTTAGAGGTCTTTTCCAACCTTAATGACTCTAAGAAATAACTTCAGTAATGTTGATAGATAAGGAGTCACCCACAGAAGAAGAAAATAACATCTGTAACATAAATTTTCAAGAACTGAGATGTCCATTATGATTTTGACCTTTTTCAGTGTCCTGTAAAAAGCATTAGCATCAGTCAGATCATCCAAATCTGCTGTCTCATGCTGAAAAAGTTAAATTTCATCCTTGCAGACTTTGACTCCACCATCTCTTCAGATTCTATAACATTACACCTGGCAGATCCAGGTGAGGTTTTCCTCGGTGAATGAGTGGACAGGGGACTTAAGCATCTCAGTAACCAATACATTGTGCACTGCATGCTCCCTGTCCCACGATGCTTGATTTTGTGCATGGCTGCAGGATGCCCCTTTGCATAAGGCGTTTGTCCACTGATGTACACTGAACGCCTTTTGATATGGATGGGAGGCCACTGGAACAAAGAACTACTGATGCAAGTTTAAAAGATGAAGACTAGTATCAGCATACCCGTTTCGGCAGCCCATGAGATTTCTCCTTTGAAAATAAAGCCAAAAACCTTCAGGCCAGTTCAACTAGACAGATCAAAGATCTTCAGCGTGAACAAGCTGAGATAGTTTGGCGTGTAGCGGTAGCCTTTATACTTTGAGATTTTCAGAGATTCTGACTAGTGATGCCTTTTTTTTAATACAATACGTTATCCTAAGTGTTGCGGTGGTGCCTAGGAAATGAGTCTGAATTGGGCCTCATTCTGCTGGATGAGATCCACAACAAAAAGATGATTTCCCTTGCAAGTGATCCAAAGGTTCATCTAAACTAGCTAACACAGTAAATACCCTGGTGTGCATGCTATGTTTTCAAAACATGTTACATAAACAGTGTTATTTTCTTTCTAATATTGAAGAGATCTGACAGTGTCATTCGGCTCTGTCACTCTCACAAGCCATGGAAGATACGGAGATTATGTTTAGCCAGCTTTCTGCACTGTCTAATTTTGTGCTGGCAGGCTGAATTCCTGAGGTATGTTAGATGAGTCTCAGAGCTGCCTTAATTTATGCTGGCCAAACGATTTCCTTCTGCGCCATTTCACAGGTGCGGGATCAGCAGAGCAATTCCGTTCCACTTCCCGACTGCCCCCGCTCAGTGACTGCCACAGTTTATCCCTGAATTCCCAGCAAGGGGGCAAATGCTGCCACCAGGCTGAAAAAAGGTTTTATTGATCTGGGAGTGCTCAGAGAGACTCTGCAACAATACAAACTGCAACTACATCCCTGCACCACACCGCTTGCATATGAATTTGGAGGACTAAAATTTTCATTAACACTCCCAGTTTTTTTGCTAGCATTTTAATTGCGTCAGGCCACTTAGTAGGACAGAAGGTTGCATCTAGTCCCTTCCCAGAGATCCAATCTCTTTTGATTTTGTGCTTGGCAAAGTAGATCATTTTTATTTGTCAAACCCTTCTGGAATGGAAATTGGGGCTCAAACTCTTCAGCTGAAAGGAACCACCCAATCTCACTGTATGATTTTCCTGCTGTAAAGGTACATTCTAGCTGCCACATCATTGAGTCTGGAGCTTAAGTGGACGCTCAGATAAATAACAGCCACGCCTGCCGCAGGCCAGTACCCATCTATTTGATTATGTTATTTCCTTACAGAAGATTTTTGATGGCTGTAGCTAATCTAGAATCTGAAGGGCGATAATTGGACAAATCCGTTTAGTTGGGCAGCCGATTCTGTGCAGACCTTAAGCGGAATAGTAACGTGTGACTAATACACAACAGCACTTGGCATGAGATAAAGATGCGTGTGTAATGTATGTAACACAAACCCGAGACACTGTGGGCAGAAAAGACAAAGATATTTAACAGTATACACATGCTGATGCTCCACTCCAAAGTGCACACTTTTCTGCTGAACAAACACAGCACTGCAGGGAGAGTGAAGCATGACCTTTGCTCTCCACCATCAGGTACCCTGAGATCCTGTTGTTCTCTCTTCCACATTTTCCAGGCTGGAAACAGGTGGCAAAATTCTCACCCCTGATCCAGCTTAACTGACAATAGAGCATCTGCCTGCTGATAAGGCAAGTGGCTTGTTTTTGAGGAAAATCTGGGATGCTGTAAATTGTTTTCTCTGTCAGGTAACAATAGTTGTCAGTCATACCACAGAAGTTTGACTCTTTTTTTTTTGTGCAAATATAAAGTCATTACGTGTTTCCACCTTCCCAGCTTTAATTCTCAGCCTGCAGGTGTTGGTATTTACATTGTAGGCCTTGTAAACTGAAAAAAAAAAAAAGACTTAGAAAAGGATTTCTTGGGGCTGAGGGGGAGAGAGGCATAGATATTTTACACTGGCATAGCCGGTGAATGGTGAGCACGTGGTCAAGAGACTTGGAGCCACTGCTGAACACTGTAGAAGATGACCTCTTTTAAACTACAGCCCTCTCCAGAAATTAACTGCACTCATGTTCTTGGATTGTGTGCAGTAACTTCAGCGGATTCAAGAGGAACTAAAACTGTCCTGTGGCAGCGATACCTCTCTGTACACACCGCAGGTGTGGGCCAGCAAGCGGTGTCAGAATTGCCACATGGGTAGGGACCAATGGCCAGGTGTCTCCAGTCCCTCAGCCACCGCTGGCCGTTAGCCCAGCACAAAGTGCACCACGGGTGCTGCTCCCCAGCCCACCAGCCTCTGAGCTCCAACTGCGAGAGGACGGCGCGGAGCGCTCCCCGCCCTCCCCGAGCCTTGGCTCGCAGAGGGCAGACCCGGCAGGTCTGGGGCAGTGTCTGTGCAGATACACCTCTGTGCTTCGGCAAGTCAGGAAAAGCTAATTACTTTTTTGGAATGATTAGGAAAGGAATAGACAACAGAAAAGCCTGTGGCGTTATACTGCTGCGTGTGCAAACCACCCAACATCTCAAATGCTCTCTGCTGCTCTGATTTTTCATCTCAAATCCCATATATTCAGTATGCGAAGGGGCCACCGATTACAATCACAAGTAAATTCTGGAAGAGTCACAGTCATCAGAGGACACAGACCTACTGGGATAAGGAGTTAAAGCCTACTGAAGATGACTACTTAGCATTCATATCAATGTCATCATATCAACAGTCATGTTGGCCTCTAATGAGGTACTGGAGCCACCTGAACTCTAAATCAAAGATTTTTTTTTTCCATGTGGGAATTCTGGGAAAGAGAGACTTACCAGATGGCAACTAGCTGCTTCTTTTCCGTTCCACTGAAGGCTGGTCTTCCCAAGGTGTCCAACCTTTCCCAGTTATCCAGGGTTCTTAGTGTATAGTCTATGTTGGTACTTGCTCACATGGCAAAATGCACTTCCTGTGGATCTGCTCATCTGTACATGTTGACATTGTCTGAATTCTATTTATTTATAAATATTAATATATGTAAGGCTTTCATTCCACCCTAAGAGTTGTTGAAATAAATTTCTTTTAACATTGGTTTTAAAAAAGCAGTTCAGTATCTGAGCCATTTAAAATCTGTTATGGCTTCAGTCCTTCTGGCTTATATTTTTCCCATGGGGAGATGGGATAAAATTCATGTTACCTGTAACTTCGTAAGCAACATGAGCTATAGTTTCTCATTAATTTAATTTTTCTCCTCTTGCAAAAGTCCCTGTGTCAAAACTTCTAAGTCTGGTAGAGGGTGCCCACAGGGCACTTGTTTCAGTTTTTGCCCATGTGTTCTCTCTTAAAAGGGGATAATAAAAATGTCTGAGTGTCTCAGTTTCCTGGTTCACACTTTCTGTCACCATCTTTGCAAATAAATTCAGCATTATCAGCATGCAGAGCAAGACAGATCTGGTAAACAGGTACAAGGGACCAATCTTTCTTTAACCAAAAAGACCAGGCTATATAGGGACCTCCTGTGTAGTGGAACATCAACTTTATTCCTACATTCAACAACTCAGAATATCAGAGCTCCCCAGTGTGGAGTCTCCCCAAGCCCAGGGCCACTGTGAGCTTTCTTCCAGTGTTTATTATACAGTTGTTCATTGTCTGACCTGCCTCCTTGCTTCATTTTTATGTCTCTTCCTTCTCTTCCTCCTCAGTTTCCTTTTCCACAGGCTTCTGTGCTGGCTTCTGCTCTTTTAAGTGACTGATTGAAGAAGAGGAGGTGGGCCAGTATTAATTTAGTAAAGTGAACCTTCCCTGTCATGTATCTGTAAACTGCTGAGAGGACCTTTAGGAAAGAGCCCAAGATGGGAACAGTAAGGACAGCAAAGGTCACAACTCTCCTGACTCTTGTCTGCAAGGTGACTGTTACCACTACCACACGTCACAGTGCTAAAGTGCATTAAGAAGCTAGGCAAGGAGTATGAAATCTTGAACTCAATGATCTTAAAGGTCCTTTCCAACCATAGTGATTCTGAGTAGATCTCTGTTTGTTCTTCCCTGCATATCAACTCAGCTGCATTAATGGCACCACATGAAGTCTTTGGGTTCCAACAGTTTCCAAGTCTGCTTACTACTTAACCCCAGTTCTGTAAATTGTGGGTAAAGTACTTGGGAACCCCATGTAGCCTTTGACTGAAGGTTAACCAGGCCAAGGCCCATCTATCATCTGAGCATGGTTGCTTTTAGTATGGCACTGAAGTATGCAAAGGAATAAAGACTGGACCTAACAAAGTAATTTGCTTCTCTTTGAAAACATTAAGAGGCTAAGAGGGGAAGAGATTTGCAAAACTGACCCATTGCTTCTAGTCTTCAAAGTAGATTACAGCATATATTTAAATCTATCAGTGTATGCTGAGGGATCAGAATATTTGGGCATGATTAACAGGACTTTCAGCTGATGAGTCACATGTCAGAACTGACTGAAGGTCTAATGGGAGTTTGAGGTCCAATGACAAGCAGTTTAGCCTGCAGCGACTGACAACCTCTGAGGAGTTTGATGCTGACTGCTCAGGCTCTCGTAACCTGGACATGATTGCTACAGGCACTAAGAAAGAGACACTTTCAGAAGAATGAAAGGTTCTGTAGTTTGAAGGAGTGTTTCCAGGGAAAACTAGGTCTCTTAAGAAGAAGGATCAGAGAGAAGGAAAAAAAAAAAGAGAGTCCCTGAGGATGGAGGAAAAGGTCTGAAGGCACAGATACGCTGTCTCTGCATTTCTTACCCTAGCTTCAGGGGAGAACAGCATTGAGCTGATGCTTCTGCACAGGCTTATGAGAATGAATGAAAATGCCATTCAGCTCTGAGGTCCCTCCACTCTCACAGAAAGTTTATCAAACAGGAAAGTAAGACTGATTTCTAGTTTGACTCAACAGGGCTTCTAAGCATGCAAGGCGCTTTTTCACCTACCTTTTCCTTAAGTAGGTAATGGACTGCACAGAAACCCCATGTCCCTTCACCTCCTAGGGTGAATAAGGTTGGGTTTATTTGGTGTTGAACCAAATTAAAAAAGAAGGACAAGCCAGGACAGTAAGTGGAGTCACTCACTCACCTATAATCCACAACCCCTGTCCGATTCCGGTCTAGCTTGTGCACTAGTTCCCCAATTTGAACTCGATTCAGTGGGATCCTTGATTGCTGAGAAGAGAAGAGAAATGCTAGCAAACCTGGATATTTTTTAAGCAGAAAAATCCTCCATATCAGGCCGGGGTCTGGCCATCTTTTAATAGGTGGGCAGATGGCCTGGTGCATGGATGAAGGCATAGAAAAAAATCCAGAGTGGTGGTGGGGAAGCAGTTTCACTCATTTAGGATTAAAATAAGAGCAATATGGCTGGCTGACCACTGCTACTGAAGTAGCAAGCTCCATGGTAGTTTTGGCAGGAAGAGAATTATCTATTCAGCCTGTAGAGTTTATGGTTTAAATGCCTGTTTTTCACTTTCCCATAGCAGTAAGCAATAAGCAGATAAGTACCCATCAAGATCCTGTGTATCATATCTATATCAATAGCAGACCTCTGTGATACTCTAAAGATGATCCTTTACCACTGATGCCACCTGCAGTATTTATATGATGTCACAGCATTTCTGTTGGTCTCATTCAGGTCTCAGCTTTTGTGATGGGTGAACTTAGCCTTGGTTGCTTGGTGGCAGAGAGGTTTCCCTAGAGCAGTACCCTTCCAGAAGAGCCTCCTGGCCATGTTTTCAGAGGCACACCTGCATCATGGCTCTCCGGAAGGCTGCCACAGGGATCTTCATGTTTCCATCCTTGTCAATCTTCCTAAAAAAGTCCCAGAGTCGTAGGTTGTGCTCTTTCAAATAGTTCTAAGAGGAGCAGACATAATCCATAGTGATAACCATGAAACAGCCACTGATACCTGCCTCCAGCTTTCCCCTTGTTCTTCCATCTGTCCCCTGCCTTTACACAACCCATCACTGAGATATACAAATCCTTAACTCCTTGTGCAGGTACGCTATTGGCAGAACAAAATCCTTTTTTTTCAGATTAATCCCATTCTTCTCAGTTATACTTCCTTCTCCCCCTGCTTTGAAATGAGACTCAGTACGAAACCTATTTCTTCTTGATAACTGCATCTGGTTATTTGGTTCTCATCCCAGCAGCCACTGCTTGGCTAGGCTGTCTCATCCACAGTCAGTCCTGTTCCCCCTGATCTCTCATCACTTTAGTTGCTCTTCTCTGACTTGCTGTCTGTTTGAATGAGGGCACATCTGAGTACTGTAATGGTTGTTAAAATCTACAGATCATGCTAGTGTGAGCAGCACTAGCTGTGAAGCACAGCAGCACCGTTTGACGGGAGCTAACAGCCCAAGGTTTTACTTAAGTTCATCTGAATCCGTATCTACAGCAAAGTTTCACCCAATTAGCTGAACATCTGCGCAGCAGCTAAGAGACACAGTGAAGCTGGTCGTGCAAAAGTGTTAACTCAGCAATGCTCAAGCACTTGCAATTGCCTTCCAGCAAGGAGGACAGCACCATCTGCTGCTATCTGTACAAATTACAGACCTGGAAAAGCTATGTTTGGACAGTGTTTGCCTGTAATACCATATCCTGCTTTCATGAAATACATTAATTTTGATGCTAAAGCACAGCTGTCAGTGAAGGATTCTGTGAAAGTCGGCTGTTGTGGTGGGCTTGTGATGATGATGGATGCTCATTTGGATCAGACCTGAAATCAATCAGTTTGTTTTACACGCTGAGCAAACTTCTTTTTTTTCCCCCAGTGCTCTCACATCACAAGGTTTTTGCTTCTCCTGAAAATCAAAGGATTTGCTTAGTCGGTCTGTGTGAACTGAGATATATGAACATTGCAACAGTCTTCCTGAAGGAACTTGTTTGACTTTCCCATTTGGAAGAAAACTTACCCCTTCCAACCTCCCTCCCTCCAAGTGCTTGGACCATATGTACTGTGTACAGGGGAGCTATGGACCCAAATTCAGTAGCTCACCTGAATCACTTCCATGGGATTTGGATGCTGGTGGGGGATCTTGGCAATACAGCCTTCAACCTCACCATAGATCACTTCCAGTTCAGGATGTGTTTGCCACAGCAAATCCAGCAACTTAATGAAAGTTTCATTCACCAACACATTCTGGTACATAGGAGGAAGGAAAGTGTGGTCAGCATGGACACCCAAAGAACAGCAAAGACTTGTTTGTATTCACAAATCCATCTAAAGACAACATTAACCATTCTCTCGTAAGGGTCGTGCCTTCTTCTATCTCTGCTCTTCACTTTCAGGAATCCCAAGGAGGCCCAACCCTAAATAAGTGTTCTTTTTTCTCTTTTCCCATTTCTGAGGCAGAAAAGGATCTACCAATTTATGTTGAAATTAGCTTAGTGCAAGGTAGGTGGGAAAGACTGGGGAAGAGTGGCTGGAAACCTGGCTGCTGGAAAAGGACCTGGGGGTGTTGGTTGACAGCTGGCTGAATATGAGCCAGCAGTGCAACCAGGTGTCCAAGAGGGTCAACAGTATCCTGGCTTCCATCAGAAATTGTGTGGCCAGCAGGATGAGGGAAATGAATGTCCCCCTATACTTGGCACTGGTGAAGCCGCACTTCAAATACTGGGTTCAGTTTTGGGTCCCTCACTACAAGAAGGACATTGAGGTGCTGGAGCAGGTCCAACGAAGGGCAAAGAAGCTGGTGAGGCATCTAGAGAACAAGTCTTACGAGGAGCAGCCAAGGAAACTGGGGCTGCTTAGCCTGGCGAAAAGGAGGCTGAGACGAGACCTTATAGCTTTCTACAACTACCTGAAAGGAGGTTGTAGCACAGTAGGTGCTGGTTTTGTTCATACCCATGATGATGGGAGAATTGTTCATGTATTGTGTTAGCTGTATACTTAATTTTTGGAAATTTCAAAGCGATTCAGGAAATTCGTGAAAGCTTCTGTTTTCTATCATTGTGGAAGGTTCCCATGGCATCAAACACGACATTTTTTTCCAAAGTTTCTTCACAAACTCTCCCAATGCATTCTTATGGCTTCTTTTTAGAAGCATAAGATCCAGTGTTTTAAAGATCCATCTAGAAGCTTAATCATCTGCTGTGCAGTGAGCACTTGATTGTTACTGCTTGAAGATAGTCTTGAGTGAATCTGGATCTGGCTGAGCTTACTAGCTTTCATTCAGCACCAGGGGCTTTATGAATGCAGAGTGACTCCCTGAAGACACTCTTCAGGCATCCTTGCACTTTGCACACTAGCAGAGCATCCAAATCCTGGGAGTGCAGCACAGGAGAGCCCAAGCTGGCTCTGCTGTCTGCCAGCTCCCTGCAAGGCTTGCCAGCGTGGGCTTGACCCCATGAGAAAGGCAGTGAACTGCCAGTGCGGCCTCAGGAGCAGCAAGGCCAGGCACCGTCTCTGGCCTAAGCAACCACGCTGCGATTGGGTGGCACCGGGGGGACCCAGGTTTTTGCATTCTGTCACGTTTGGCTCAGAGAGTCCCCAGCCCAGAAGAACAGCACGTGGACGGCTGAAAAGCGACAGTGTTGTCTTTGACCTGGGATGGTGAAGACGGGCACGCACTGGATATTTTGATTCATGACTTCTATAAAATACTTGATAGCATCTGCAAGTTGAAACCTTGTAAAGAGTAGATTATGAAAAGAATGTGGGGAACAGTCATGCTTAGAAATGTTGCCAGAAGCAATAAACTGTTGATAAAAATGCCTTTTTATCGCATCACCTTGCCTAGTGTTGTCAAACCCATGCATTCTAGGTACGATCCTTATTTGAAATTCCTCTTACAGACACACTAATTATTCATTCTTCAGAAGTCAAGATAAGCATTTATCACTAGGAAAAGGGGCAGAAGAGGCTTTTGTTTATGTCTTCCCTTAAATTTCCTGTAACAGATTACAGCCTTTACTAATTTCTTAAAGGTTTGAGACAGCGTAAGATCTTTGGAACTGTATATTTGCAAATACTTGGAATTGAAATGCAAGACTCCCTACATCACAGGTGGAGTGAAGTCTGTCAGATGATGTTTGCCTACAAGCATTTGATTGGGATACTGAGATGTCATTGTAAATTTATGCCATTGACCACTTATCTTATGAAATGCCAGGTAGTTTAGTTTTTTTTGAAGGGTAAGGTGAAGAAAGCAGCTGTTAACCCTAAAACCCTAAAAAGCAGAAATTCTTAGGTTTAGGTTGAAGATTCTTGATGTTAATTCTTAATTAACTCCTTGTCTCAACATTTCTCACTTGACTCCTTTTAAATAAATGAATTTCAATTTATCAGAATTTAGCTAAAATACATTGCTATTTCCAAGTTTATGAATTTTCTACATTATTAGTAATAAAACTAGCAGAACTGTGTATACTGTAATGAAGCCTTTCACATCCCCCCCAGCCCATTTTAGTTTTCCTTTGCAGAATAAGGTCTGACTCCTTGCAGACTTGGCAAATAATTCTCTTTGATCTCAATTTATGCAGGAAAAATTGTCTGCCCTAGAGGAACGCCTGTTCTTCAGATGATCCCTGTTGAAAGCCTCTCTGAGGAAAGACCATAGATGAATATTACTTATTCTGCTTTGGTTTAGTTTCTTTCTTTAATATAGCAACCACAGGACAAAGAAACATGTGCAGATGTAACTTAAATACAGCTCATTACATGAGTCTCCAAAACTGCCCATGAACTTTTTTTAGCTTGTTTCAAGTGTGAACATATTATTTGTGTTACAAGTCCCAAACCTAATCTTCATGAAAATACTCTTTCCTTCAATCACAGTGCACCCAAAAGTGGATGGAGGGCCCTGAGGCCCTTGACACTTCCTGTAACTGCTTCTGTGAAGCACCAGTGCATGGATAGGAGGGCCAGGAGCAGAGTGATGTATGCCCAGGTCTCTCCCCAGTGTTGGTCTGCAGTGCAACCCCTGTACTTACTCAGGAGCTCAAGAATAATTTCTGAGTCTCCCATTTTAGAAGCAGCACAAGACAATAGCTTCAACAATATGTGTCTTGCTCCTGTATTGCTATGGAGTAGCATACTACGATTTAGCCTCTTTGATTTTGTTTTCCTTCCACACCAGCCTTTTAATGTTTGTTCATTGTTTTTTTTTTTTTTTTTTTTGGGGGGGAGGGGAGAGGGGTTGTTTTTGTTTTTAATAAAATCGGTTTGCTTTCAATATGTTGAAACATCTATCTTCTTCTACTCCTCATAGTACATACTGACAGGGTGTTAAAGCACTTCACAGTATGTAGCATCCCAGGCTACTCTGGAGGGAGACAGCTCAGATGTCTCAGAATTCATCCTCCAGTGGGAATTCGCTCCTTGTTCTTGTTCTGGTATTGCAAAACGGGAGTGAAACATCATGATACTACAGACACCTCTCTCCAGAGCTAGACCAAAGCCCTATAATTTCCACATGGCTCCTAGAAGGGCTATCAAATAATATCCTCTTATTATTAATGGCTGTGCATAAACAAAACAAACAGCAAGTCTCAAAACCATTTCAGAAGGGGTCAGCTCTGAGATCTACCCAGTTCCTAAAAATGTATAGTTATTGTCCTGGATGCTACTAGCACATAAACTCTTACTGAGATGTTGATCTCCTCCATCATGGATTTAGGGTTCTTTTGGACAGATGTGACTAGTGCAGTGGCACCTTCTGTGGTCAGGGGATTATTTGCCATCTGTGGAAGAAGATACATAGATCCAGATGTGTTGAGAATGAGGACTTCATGCCTGGAAAAAGCCTGCTGTAACCTCAAGGATGACCCATGTTTCCTAGTCTTCATCAGGGCTGTAGAATAGCCATGGTCCCTTTTAATAGGTTTGCCTGTTACCTCACCATCTCTTGTCTCTGTCCCTCAAAATTCTGCAATGCAGCTTCCCAATGGAGATGCCTTCTTAGCTTTTCTTTGTCTCCTTGTGTGAAATTCCCAATATCAGGTCCCTTACATCTGTCACACAGGAGTATGTGATGTGGATCACGTTCAGTAACGTAATGGGGAGAAGCTGATACAATGGGCTGCATCTGATTGTGTGCTTGCTAGCAGGGTCCCTCTGCATGGGGGTATGTCCCTTGGGACATTTCTCATACCCTTGGGAAGTGCTGGGATTTAAACCCCCAACCCTGACTGAGGGTTGGCATATGGATGGGGTCTACAGCCAGGCAAGAAAGACCCTCATGATAGGTTTTCACCCCGGGTCTGGCCAGCCTTGGGGGGGAACTGATGAGAAGATCACCACCAGGTGCCCCCACCTTCCACATTGACTTCGGGGTGAGGCAAGAAGCCACCTCTGTAAGAGGTGACTCTGCTTGCAGTGGGGTTGGGAGGTTTGTCTGTACAGTGTGTGTGCTGTGTGGGGATTCTAGTTATCAGAAAGGCTTCCTGACTGTATATAGCAAGTGGAGTTCCCAGGGTGGTAGAGAGAAAGATGAGTCCCTACTACATAACTGGTCTTGTGGCCTGGCTAATTCCATCTCCCACAGCTTGGGTGCTTGGCCAGCTTGCTCCCTTCCTTGCATCCTTCCTTGGTGAGTGAGTGTATTAGCTTATTTCTCTCTTTGGTGGTGGGGCACCTTGGATTGTTTGTGTATGATTTAAGAGCAGAGGGAGGAATTTGGCTATTAGTCTGCCTGTTAATGATAGTATCTTTCTATATTGGGCAAGTGGTCAGCAGAAGACATTAGCTCCTCTGCAGCACAGCAGATTAGATCTTAGGCTGATTGGCTACCTCTGAGCTGCCAAGTCTAGCTGTCTGGTCTTATGAGATCTTACTAGCATTGCCTGCATCTCTTAGTGTGTGAACAGCACCTCTCCTTCACCCTGGACTTCATGTGCAGTCCCCACTCCCATTATTTGACAGAAAACTTTCTTGGTTAACATTGGCCAGCAGAAGACATGTCCTCCTTTAAGTAGTCCTTTGTGTTATCAGCTCCTAGGACCATCTTTGCAGCTGCCCAGAGAAGGAATGCCTTGATGGGAGCCTAGTGACCTTACCTCAAAGCAGGTTAGGAGTAAGGCAAACAGATACATTGATTTACATAATGTAAAACAGTAGTTACAAAGACTGGTGTGGTTGCAGTGGTTTACAAGGACAAGGGTGTCCAAAGACAGGCCTATATGAACAGCTTTAAAGATGGCCCTTGATCTTCATACTGCTGTTGGCAGGCTCTGAGCATGGTGAAGTCAGATCTAGCTAAGAATGCAGCTCATAAGCAAAGTGACTTTTCTGAGGTGAATTCCTAGAGATGATCTTGGGTTGAGAAGACATATTAGCTTTCAACCCTAATTTCTGAGGCCAGCTTGGCCGGTCATTCAGTTCTGACTTTTCCATGATTATTGATCCCTAGGTTACTAGAAGGCAGCTTTGGCTTTCTTTATCCAGGACTTGGCAATACTCCTTTCCTTTAGGTAGTGCTGTGGCATTGCCCTGAGGTGGCAATGACAGCTTATCCCACGTGTGAATAAATTTTTAGCAAGTCCTTAGCAGGCTGAGGAAGGTATGCTATCGCTCACCTGCAAACTGCAGCGTGCACCTTTGCCTTAGGTTGAAATGCACCTTACGTGTACCCGTGTACATTTACAGTGACATTTGGTGTGTCTGTGCAGACCTGTTGATCGTGTAGGCTCTCTGCTAGACATTGAATACCTAGCTTCTTACATTACTGAGATTAGACATGATGGTAATCAAACACTTTGGGGTGATGAGTGTAGGGACAAGCCAATCACTAGGGGATTTTTTGAGGGAACAGTGCAACTTAGTTGCTCTGGAAGAAATTAACAGGGTAGAATTTCCTTCTGCTCTGCTTGTCTTTAATTCAGAGCAATACTCATTTCTTCCAGTTCTAGCTTGGACAGCTCACCTCTGCCTTCTGTCCCTCCTGACTCAGATCTTTCTACTCCCTACATTTATTCCTCCAGCCCTGCCCAGGCTTTATTTTACCTTCAGGATTTTGAGTTTTTCATTGACTTGAAGGGCCCTGGAGAACTTCGTGGCTCCTTCATTGTTGATCTGGTTGTTGCTGATGTCCAGCTGAACTAGCGCGTTATTGACCTTGAGAGCTTCTCCTAGGGCCTCTGCTCCCTCGTTGCCAATGCCGTTCCAAGAAAGGTTGAGTATTTTCAATGCACCATTGCCCTCCAGGGAGAGGAAAGGGATTTTAGCTACTGCATGCCCATCTTCTGTATTACTCTACACTCTCTTGCCTGGCTGGCACAGGAGCATCCCTCAAATCACTCTCAGGCACCCTAAATGAATCCAACATCTCTGCAATGTCACTGGGATAACTCCATCCACACAACTCACCAGACCTGCTGTCCTGGTTTCACTGAGACAGAACCATGGTCTGCAGGACATCTGCAGTTTGGAGTCAGCCAGCACGGCTGACCCAAGTTGGCTACAAGTGTATCCCATTCCATAAACATCATGGTCAGTTTCAAGGGGGAAGTTCACAGAGGTGATCTTTTGCTTGATGTTTCCTGCTCCTGAGGACTGCCTTCCTGTCTGATGTGACTGCCATACCTTTGCTGGGCTGAGAATAACTTTGTTGACTTTATACTGGTGTTGGTGTTAGTTTGGCTGTTTCATTAAATCCATTTTCGTGTCAGCCTGTGAGTCTCATCTCCTTTTCCCAATCCACCTTCGTGGCTGGGAAGGGGTCATCTGGTGATAGAGTTAACTGCTATAGTTTAGCCCTGGATGTGGGCTAAATGTAGACCTACTCGCTGCTCTAGTCTTTCTCCTGGTGCTGACTGCTACTGCCAGTTGGATAAGCCTTGCTAGAGCTACTGAATCCTGCTCAGACCTCAGGGGTTTGAGTTCCCAACCACTGTTTCAGCCTGCTTTGGGTAAAAATCACTGTGAAGGATATCACAAAGCAGGGGCATTCCTACCCTGAGACCTGTCCCCAGTGCTACTGCCCCCTTCCTCAGGTAGTTCCAACTCAGGTCCAGGATCTCCAGTGTTGTGTTGAGGGCTAGGAGAGAGAAATGGAGATATTAGATCATAGAGTGGTCTGGACACAGCTGCTGACCTGCTTAGGCACTAAGAGAATGTTTGCTGGGGGTTCAGAAACAGCCTTCACTGATTGCAGTAGGAGGAACAACATCTACCTACGGAGTCTCTGCTGTCCACAGCACCCAAGGAACAGGGAAATGGGCTGTTGATCACAGGCAGAAAGGGAACATAGGGTTTTTTTCATTCTCAATCAAAGAATTAATTGTAAAGGAGGAAGATAGAGAGAGGGAGGATTTCTTATGCTACCAGACACTGTTCTTCTCTCTGTGAAAAACAGCTGGATTTTTCTTGCCACTACATGTAGGCTCACCCTGTGTGCGATGAGCAGAAGAAAGGAATTCAGCTTTGTATGGTGGCTGTGCCCAGCTGTATATGTGGCAGTGCCAATTCACATGCATAGCACACCTCACGGTGCAAGCTCTACTTGGAGCAGGGTATGTGTGAATTCATTTCTGTCTACTGTGACACTGGGAGGGGGTAGGACTTGCTGCCAACATTTGCTTCTCATTCTCAGAGAGAATTTCTCATCCAGATTTTCCATGGGTAGGAGGTTGGATGGAGGCAGATGGTGAGTTTAGCTGACTTAAAAATATTCCTTTAAGAAACAAACCAGAAATGTGACAGATTCTGCAGTAATCTCTGCTGCTCATGCCTCAAGTGAGCTGGAGGGAGAGAAGAGCTGCAAGACCTTTAATTTTGGAGAGGCCTTTTTCTGGGCTAGGAAAGGTCACAAATTTTAGTACTGATTTCTGCCTTGCCTGCAGGCTTGTCTGAGGCCTGTGAGGCAGAGTGCCTTGTCCTTATTGCAGTTTCAATTGATCCATCTTTTAAAGACATGGACTGAGATACCTATCAGTGGAAATACTGGACCAGGAGGAGGAAAGTTAAACTGAAGGCATTGTTACTGAAATGCTTAAGGAATGCTGGATGCCCCTAGCATATGCTTGTGGCCATTATGGTAGCAGGCATGTTGGACATACATGAAGAGAAGCATCAGATATTCATGCAGTTCTTTCCCAGTGCACTAATAGCACCTGAAATTACTGAAAGACTGTAACTATTTCATTTGCTTTCCTTCTCCAGGGCTGCTAGCACACTCTGGATCTCACTTCGTCTTAACAGATAAATTAGGCAGCTTAGTTTTATTTCTTCCAAATACGTTTTCCTTGCAATGGTTCAAACCATTAGGGTTTGGGCTACTGAAGAAAAATTGAAATCACTCCTGAACTTTGTCATTAAAAGCTTAGATAAAACTGTCCTGATCTTATTAGATTTTAGTCAAATGCAATTTTCTGCTTTATACTCCCTGAGGGACTTCCCTTTCAGCTTCCTTCTCTCTGACAGACTGCTCTTCCTGTGGTTTCCCATCCTGTGTTTGTGTTCTGATACATTAGTCACAGTTGCAAGAGACACCTGTGGTGATGGAGAACCTGTGGACTAGGCAGGGCACTCAAAATGGGGGTGCCCTGTCTTTTGTACTATCCACCAGGTCATGGGGCATTTTTGCTGGAGAAGGAAATACATGTTCACTGTGCTGATGTCATCAATTCTCCCACTGCCTGTACTCCTGGCTCTGCAGGAGTAATAAGTTACCAAGCATCTGTCCCAAAAGCTGTCCTCCATTTTCAGAGAACACATTGTGGCTGAGGTCCAGCTCCTTCACTTTGTAATTGCCCTGCAGAGAAACAAATGTGCGGAGACAATGAGATCTTCCAGCCAGCTGTAACCAGATACCATGCCAAGGCCCCCACATGAGGATGAAACGGAGGAATATCAGACAGTGAATTCTTCAGTGCATGGGAGATCATCAGCGCAGAGACTGCAGCACTGCTTGTCCCAAAACAAGGCTTTGTCAGGCGTATAACATCACAGTCATTAACTTCCCAAAGCAGCAAAAGCAATGGAACTTTGTGTTCTGCAAATTTCCCTCACACAGTTCATGTCTGGCCTGCAATCCATCCTACAGTTCTGTTCCTGCTGCTGTTTCACTACCATCATTGTACCCTGACCAAGACCACTTTCTGATACCAGGTCAAGGCCTTTCTTCAGGGCAGCTTCTGGTGGTGCCAAATAATGCAGAAGCCTTGAGGCAGGAACTAACCAAACAAGCCAAATGTCTTATTTCTACTGGAGAATTGCAAAATTATATGAAGTTGGGTTACTTATGCTGCTTGAAATTTTTGTCACCCAGATGTTCTGTTATACAGTCCTGAAGGTTGGTTTCTCAGCCAGACTAGCACAGCTGTCCTGAGAAAAGGTTAACACAGTCTGTCCTGCTCTGTGTCCTCCCAGCTTCTCTCATTTCTGAAGCAAGCAAGAGGCACTTAGTGGAATTATGCTGGGAAATTGTATGGGCATTGCCAAGTGAAATCAGGCCAAGTGAGGAACGGCTTCAAGATGAGGAGAGTCTGTTACACAGCCAAGGCTGCAAATGACCTTGGACTTGGGTAACTCACCATTAATGCCTTAGCAAAGTATGGTGCAGTCTTCTCTCCAAAGTTGTTTCCTGGGGAAGAAAAGTATGTTATCAGTGTGCTGATCTCCCCCCTTGGTGCTGTGCTGGGGGCTGCAGGAAGCTGCACTCTTAGGCCCGTATCTGAGTAGGAATTTAGTCACTATTCCACTTTGTTCCATAGAGTAGAATTACCCCAATATGTGGAAGACACTGCAGGAATTATGTAAGTTTCTTGTAAGAGACTGGTTTTCAGAGCTGCTGGAAGGTTGAGCAGGTCAAATATTTAATCACATCACTATAAATCTAGATTTCTGCTGTTACTCTGGGTTCACATCAGAGACGTGGCTGAGAGATTGATTTTGCCCCTAGTCTAATATTCTCAGGATGAGTGACTGGAAGGAGGCACATGTTACTCCACTTCTATCACTGTTTTGGTGCATACAACTCACCCGAGAGCTGAAGAGCACGGAGGTAGGACACGTCATCCAAAAGCAAACTGGCAATGGCTTCAGCTCCTGCCGTGTCTAAGTGGTTATTTGAGATATTCTGGAAGGAAAGAAAGGAGGATAAGAAAGGTGAGTCCAAAGAATGAATCAGCTCTACCGTCATCTTAATGCCCAAGATGTCAAGGGAATAATGAGAACAAGGAATATGAGAAATGTCAGCCAGACAGTAATTAACATGTGAGTTATAGGTGTGTATAACCCTGTGTCCTTCCTAACAGGAATAAAGCCCTAGAGCCATCAGTTTCACATAGGTCTTTGTCTTTAGTGAACCAAGAAGCATTTGGTCAAGAAACTTTTCTTCCAGTGTAACACAGAACCCATGTTCTATCAAAACGCACTTTGTATACCCCAGTTTCAGGTCGAAGGAACATTCCAACCAGTTTGTATCTGACAGTTCTGCATTATTCCCTTAATCTATTTAGAAAAGTTCCCCCATGTCATATTGGAGAATGAAAGTTCCTGACCAAACCACTTTTTCTGTTAGCTAAGCATGAACTAGAAAGACTTAGTTATGGTAATTATTGTCACATCTGCTAATGAAGAGAACAGTTCCACACTCACCAGACTGCTATCACAGGCACACTTCTGCTTTTCAGAAGTTTATACTTTTAAAAAGTAGAGCAGCATAAAATACTGTGATTTGCAGAATGTGAATATTTTAGCATGGAAACAATGGCTATTTGGTTAAAATTGTAATGAAATGAATTGTTTTTCTTTCAGATGATTGAACTGGGTGGGCAGTAGTTTTGGCTACAAGCTACATCAGATTGGGTACCAGTTCTTGGAGGGAGGAATTCTCTTGTAGCATCTCTGCTATGTATATGGCTCCTTCTGCCAGAATGCAGTTGTCTTCCAGCTCTAGGTGCATGATGGTTGTGTTGGACTATAAAGACAAAGGCAAACAAAGACACAAAAGTGCTTAGAAGTTAATGAAGGGGATAGTTTCCTCAGTTCAAGAGACACTGGGCATTTCCTCCAAACCCCAGAAAGCACTGCAGGTTCTGAGTAGGACAGTGATCACAGGAGTTAATGGGTCCATGGCAGTGTGAACTGGCATACCAAACAGATACTTGTTTTTGAGTGGGTAGGAGTTCCTGTTGCTTTCTGCCAGCCTGGAGACCCAGGTTCAGATCCAAGCTCCAGTTCAGGCGTCTTGGGCCTGTCCATTGGTGAGTGTAGCACATCCCTGTGCAGAACTTGGAGTGGGGGGACACCAGTCCCTCCAGCCCTACCTCTGGCCCCATAGGGGTGTGCCTTGTGTCCCACAGAAGAGCATTGGTTTGTTCTTGGGGGTAACTCTAGCAAAGGCCAGCAGTTGCCACACAAGCCTTTCCTGTGCAGGGGATTAGAAACATTAGGAATGCTCATAGCTCCTATGGGGAAGAGACATTAATTTTTCTACCATACTGTATATGCAGTGATGGCTTCCAGGCCAGAGAGGCCTACAATGCCTATTATTCTTGAACAGTGGCCCACTCTTACTGGATACTCACCACCAGAGCAATAGCAATGGCTTTGACACCTTTGGGTCCTAGACCACAGTGGTTCAGGTTTATATAAGGCTTGGCCAAGTTCTGAATGAAGTGTGAGACAGGAACCACCTCCAGCAGCCTGCATGCTTCCAAGTACAGCTCTACACCTGTAATATCCACAAAGGCCTTCTCAGGATCTACAGAGAAAATAGATATTTGAGTGGTGTATTCAATGTCTTCCTTCCTCTTTTAAATAAATTGTCTTAATAAAATTAAGTAACATTATGCAATAAGAGTAGGGTTTTATTCTTAAAGGGTTATTATTCCCCGACTCTCCCCACACTGTTGTCCCAGACCTCCAAAAGTTGATGTATCCTCCTTGCTTCTCCATTTGGCATCCAGTGACTTGTGGCAGCTTCTCACCAGTCTGCAATGTGACTAAACCTTTCTTAGTGTAATTGAGAATTCTTGACATCAGGCAAAAACATTTTCATTTTTTTTTCCCCTGGTCTTAATTGAAGCACACAGCTGATACTGCCAGCAGAGCTAGGGCAGCTCAGAATGCTTTGGCTTACAACCAGCAGAAAGAATCCCAGCATTTTCATCTTGGCCATTGGGTGTTGTTGACACAGCTGCAGTGAGACACATCAGTGCAGCTGGCGGCTGTATTTCCACAAAAACCTGTCATTTGGAATTCCTTCATCAACCCCCATACTTAGAGCTCATATTTCTCCATGTTGTTATATTCATTCAATGGCCTGACCTCAAGACAAATTCCCCTCTCATCAAAGTCATTTTCCAGTTCAGTCTGAGGGCTCTAACAAAACAGTCTTTTGTTCTCACATTTTTATGGTTTTTGATTGTCCTTCCATTTATAACAAGTTAAAAAGTTCTCATCCTAAATTACGGACAAATCCTTCTGTTACGAAAATGAGTGCAACTTGTTTAGCCAGAGGACTGACTTCACTAGGCAGAAGATAAGAGGCGAGCCACCAGAAAAGCCTAGGAGAGCTGTGGCAAGCCTATGGTATGCAGACCGCAGTTGCTGTGCAGTGTTCCATCAGGAGCACATGAACAGGGCCTTGGTCCCATCCCTGCTTTCAGCTGGCTGCTCCTGCTGCCTGGGCAGTGGCTGGTCTAGTGGTCTTGGTTATTAAGGACTAGAGAGGAGAAGGAACAAAGGAATAGCCATGGCCTACAGAGAGTAGTTGAAGGAAGATGCTTGACATCAGATGGAGAACTCTTAGAAGGAAATTCATTCCCTTCCCCTTCAGCCTTTATCAATTGCCAGATTACATGTGGTTGCTAGGATTCTGGCTGGGTTGTGTTGTTGGTCTACATTTTGGATACATACCAGATGGTAGGTACAGCTCTGACTGTAACGGGAAGGTTAGTGAGGGCAGATGGTCAGAAAACATTCACCTTCAATCTCTAGGTCAGTGTCAGAGGCTCGTGTGGCCACCTCTGCTGATGCGTCATCCAGTGACACAGATTCTGGAGGCTCATTCATTTCAGATGTCTCTTCATTTTGGTCTGCCATGAAACCAAATATATTAATTTTGTCAATGCAAGCCCAGCAGGGATGTGTCTCCTTGGATGTGGTAGATCTCCCCACTGCTCTCACTGATGGCTGGTCCCTCTTCAACATGCTGCAGACGCAGTCCTTCCCCAGCCCTGCTTTGTGCTCACTGCTCCATCTACAGGGTACACAAGCAGTGCTGGCCCTGGTGTGGGGCTGGGCTCGCTCTGGGGCTACAGGTCTGCAGACTCGCCATGGCTTGGCAGTGTTTGGAAAGGGCCCTCCCCAGATTCTGCAGCCCATATGCAAGGGACTCTCAGTCCTCCCACATTAGGTCTTTATTCCCTCATGAACTGCCTTTCTTCCCTTTTTCAATTTTTGAGCCCACCAGACAAAGCAAATTTCTCCTCTTCATCCCATTTCCCCACAAACCTACAAGCCAAACCCACAAGTCAAACGTGTGCCAGTTTCTCCTACCTCTCCTCAACTGACTCACACTTCCCCAGGCATGGGCAAGACACTGTTGGCTGACCTTGCAATTAGGCTGGGAATGCTTTGTGGTACTCATCAAGAATGGCAGCAGAGAAAGTATTCAAATGCTATTGTATATTGGGACTGACTGTAACTAGACCCACTGGAAGTGATACAGCTTCTCTTGCCTACAATTCGTAATTTATAGTTAGAAGGAGAATTTTGAAAATTCCTTTTAAAGATAAATAAATGCATTAAAAAAAGACTATTTTTTGCCAAATTAATTTCTGGCTAATAATATAAATTCTTTTTCCCCTACTCTGATTCTTCCTTTTCATTCCCTGTCACTGCTATTACTACCTTCTTCCCTTACTCATTATTTCCTTCTAGAGCTCCAGGCTATTGACCTGTGATTTTGTACCCTTCTTGGGTGTCACTTAGCCTTGATGTGACATGAAGCTTGCAGTTTGGCTTTTCATTTAGACTTGTGTGAGAGAAAGACCGGCCAGCTGGCACCCACATCACTGCATTTCAACTAGCCCTGCAGCTGCAGCTCCTTCATTAAGACGTTTTCCTTCTGCCAGACTTTACTTGTTCAAATGATGGATTTACTTGTGTTATTTTAGTGTGAGAAAGACAAATGAAAGGGTAAATATAGGTCTAAATCCCATGTAGGTAAGTCATGAGACAAGTAGAACCAAAGATTTGGGACATTATGACAGTATCCACTGGTCCTCCTTGTTTAATGGCCCTACAGTGCTGGACATCCTGATAAAAACAACCTTCCCTTTCTGGGAGCGGACTGTCTATGCTACACAAAACCCATCCAGACTGTATCATCCCCCAGTAACATGGCTGTCATGTGCCCAGTATGTCAGCCAGGCCTGCAGTGTGGGGACTAAGCCTTCTGAGGTAGATTCAGAAGTGGACCCGGCACACCTATGGAGCTGTAGAACTTGGCACTGATACAGATGATAATCCTGTCATTCAAGCAGAAGTTTGAAAAAAAAGATTATTTGTGTTAAAACCAATACAGTATAAAGTGATGGGTCTGGAGGCTCCTTTATCACCCTCTCCTTCCCCCGGGTGCTGGGGCTGCAGATGCAGCTTTCTGGTCAGCCTGCCTCATGCACAGCTTGGACCAGTCACAAGTGGAAGCAGAGAGCTCACTCGGTGGTTTGATGTGCAACTTGTGAGGGGTGCGCCCAGGTAACGGCAAATGGCTTCTCTTGTGCTGGATTAACAATGCTTGTTCTCTGGGTGCGTGGCTTTATGTCCCCTCGTTTGTGTTGTACAAATATTTGATAAATCACACTAGCAATTTTTACTTCAATAGCTCTGTGAAGTAGAGGAAATGTGTCTTATCTTTTGCGTAGCATTACAACAAGGTCTTAGTTTTGCCGCTAAATTAAAGAAGTGGTCTCCCATTAGAGTCACTAGTCATGGATGTAAAGGTCAGATGAAGACTTTAATAAGTTGTTCTCCTTCTCTGCCAGGGCAAAATCTAGTTGATATATACCAAGGAATTTAAGCTATGAAAAGAAGCTACCAAGGTCTGCCTCACTTGTTTCATTCTGCATGTCTGGCATAAGGAATACATCAGAATAAGAGCTCAGCTGGGGCAGCTCATTAAATGGAACAGAGTATTTTGCAGTATGCAGACAAAATTATTCTAACGTAAACACCCAAACATAAGCATTTTTTTTTACATTCTGTAAGAAATCAGTTAATTCAGTGATTTGTCAAACTATGATTATACTATTATACTAACTTGGGCGTAGTAAGTGTTGAAGGAACCTATAAGGAAAGAGCTACAAGACTCATGATTTTGTAGCGAAGCAAAGTATTTAGGAATTAATATCCTAACTGCTGTAATTTATTGAAAAATGGAAAATTAGTTTTGTTGTTTGGAAAAAAAAGTGTTTGCCTTAGCTTGGTCGTCTACTCAAGGGTATCAAATTTATTTCCTATATAAAGAGATGCCACTGTGCATATCAAAGACTTCTAGAGAAATTATAAACAAATTATTGGATATTTGTGGGAGAAAAAAAATTATTTTCTTCATCCCAATATAAATAATTTAGACCATGAAAAAAGCAAAACAGCCAGACATGTTGACAATTTTTTACCTCTGAAATAAGGTATGATTTACAATTACACCATTCTCCTTGCTGCTACTGTCGGTCAAATTCAGCCAACATTTTACCCACAATTATTTAATCCAGTAATGTAAGGGAAAATGGCAACCAACTATTAACTGACCGGGTATTTCCTGTTGATAATATTTTAAAAGTTAATACTGGCAAAACCCTATGAGAAATACTAATTTTAATATAACTGTTTCAGCCTGATAGCAGGTAATTAGCTGTCTCAGCTCCCACTGAAGGAGTGAAAGTTTGAAGAGTTCATAGCCAAGAAGAAAAACTTGTTTGCAGAAAAGCTGTTTAAAAGGGCCTAATCACATACAGGCAATAAATGGTTACTGCTGGATCAGAAAAACTCCCAGAGCTACCTTTACAGCAGAATAAGAATGGATATTTAGACAAATGTAATTTTGAAACAATGGAGAATATATGATAAAGGATCTCATCTATTAGAGCATCCATTAGGGAAAATCATTATGTAACACTTCCTAAATTGCACTGTATTCTATTTAAACCAAAGAGAGAATCTGTCCCACATATCTGACTACCTTAAAGCAATTCCATTATGAAGGAAAATAAGAAATTCATTTGTAATCACTGAGTGACAGGCCAAAGGAGGCTTTAACTTTGAGAGGAACTACTATGCTAGCTAGGAGGTCAGGCCACAGCGCTGCGAGCAGACCCAGGGCCTGACTCTGCTGTCTACAAGCATGGCTTGACAGCAGCAGGTTCAGAAAACTCTTCTGCCCCTCACACCCTACCTGTCCTGTGCCAAGCTCTGACACGGCCTGTGGACATTAGGGACAGCTGGGTGGAGTTTCCCAAAAGCTGGTACTGGCAAGCCCTCTTTGGATATATTTTGGTTTTTCCAAGCTGTTCCCAGATGACACCTTCTGTCTCTGGGCACCGGAACCCTGGATTCCTGTTCACCACCTTTCTCCTCGCTGCTGCCTGGCCTGGGGAAGGGGAGCTTTCCCACCTGGTGATCAGCCCGCTGCAACAGCAGTCCCTCTTGGGTGCTGAGGATTTTCCTTTGGCCATTTCTGACCATTTCTGAAGTGAGTTTGCTAGCAATTAAACGCCTCACCTGCATCCTTCTCAGACTCATTCTCCATGTCATCACCAGCGAGCAGTGGGTTCGTTTGCTTTTTTCTTCTGTAAACCAGTTCAGAGCTACTTCCTAGACTCTAAGTTCCACACACCTACACACGAAAAGGACAGCCACTTGGCTACAATTAAAACATCTCCAGGAGGAACAGTGACACTTGTAAGATCTGTGTTCTTGGTTTATACTCTTTGTGAGGAGGAAAGTCTCATTTCCTGCTTACAGGGGCTGGCCAGTTGTTATGAGAAAGTCCTGCAGAGCCTGCAGCCACACCGTTGCCCTGTCTTGCCCTTCTGTGACCTCACCTGCAACTTCCAACTCCAAGGAGTGACATTCAGTGCTGGAAACCCCATCGCTGTGGGGTCCCATCAGCTCCCGATAACTGAAAAGAGAACAGCTGTGGTTTTGGTGGTGAAACCCTTCCAGATGTATCAGAGTCATGTCAGGCTGCTGGTAAGAGTTCTCCTTTCCTTTGAGTTCAGATTCCAGTTTGTACGACTTAATGAGAAAGCCAGACTGGCAGTTATAGTCTTAAAGGAGATGAGAATAGAAGGAGTGTATTCGCCTTATTGGTCTTGAACAGATTCAGACTTCCCTATTGCCAAATTCCCAATACATCCCATAATAAAGTGTGGCTTGTAAACATGTCAGCACTTGATGGAGCCTTGAATCAAGTACTCAGTCATCCCACCAACTACTGTAGGTACCAAAATTGGTTCAGTGCTTATTATTTTACATAATTTATACTGAGGACTTTATGACTTTTCCTAATGAGCTAAAACCAAAACTGTAACAGAAGAGGCTTTCTGGTAAGGGTTGAGCAGAATGAATACATACACTTAGAAATATTTCCATTATGGACGATGCTTATTGAACATAATCTTTTGTACAGATTTAGAAATTTATGTAGCCTACGCAACGTAACATGGGCTATACAGATAGGAAGAGAAAGTGCATTTCCCCAAGAATAGGGTATTTTTAGTAGTTTCATTCCTTCAGGTTCTAAATAAATCTCTGAATTAGTCCAGTCATTGGACACCATGTTAGTGTTATATTTGGATATGGAACAAAATGCCACAAAAGCCAGTGGAAGTTTTGACCCTGAAGCATATGACCCTTGTCAGCTTTGAATTTATTGCCAAAGTTTGTAAATATTTTTTCTAGCATAAGCCAAACAACTGTGGCTCTCCTGATACTTGCTTGTTTGTGGCACTGGCTAACAGTCTTCTCTCATTTCAGTCTGATTATCTTGATGTGGGTTGGGATTATCTTGCTGAGATTATCTGCAGATACTCCCTTAGATCTTTCCTTTTAAAGATCAGCTTTTTTTTTAAATGCCCCAGTAATCGGTCCTTAATGTTGCAGATCCTTCCTCTGGAAAACATCCTCCATTTTCTAACTAGAAGCCAATGATAATTTCCAGAGGTTTGCTTACTGCAGCAGAAGATGGGAGACCACAGTGCAGTTCTGTGTTTTGCCAGAGACATCTCTGGGAGTTGAGACAAGTCACTGTGTCCATGGTCTGTGGTGTTTTAGATTTGGGGATTTGAAAACAATACTGGTGGGTTTATGATTTATATACATTATAACATCAGCTCAGATCCTAGTCGTGGACACTTGTGCTCATCACCATACACAAAAAGGGTAAAAGGCAAGTTGACCCTCAAAAAGTGTCTCATCTAAGTACTAGCCATGAGGCAGCAGATGGTCACCATCAAGGGAGCAGTTTGGCAGCACTCATCAGTGGAAAAGGCACGATGACATGAGACTTTAATTCAAGCACCGTCTTAACGAGAGTTTAGAAGAAGGCTACCGAGATCACACTTTAGAAATGTGTATTTGATGTAAGCAGCCATAGTGGTGCTCAGTTCCGTCTGTTTGTCTTGATGTCCTACACGTTCGAATGTGGAATGAAGCAAAAACATTAAAAAAAGATGGACCTAAGCCAGGACTTCTGCTATGAAACTGTCTGGTTTTCAGCCAGGGGGGAGGGAGCGGCTCTGCCGGCTGCGGTGGCACACTGAGAGGGAGCAGCTCACGCACCGTGCTTCCACCCGCGCAGGCACGGCGCTCTGAAAAACCGTGACTCCCATCAGCTGTGTTTGCAAAGCCTGTGTGATTATTAACCCATCTGGAGCCAATGGGACTTTATTTGCTTGGTGGCCTTCCAGGGGAAAAAAAATCCGAAAAATTTTCCATTCTGTTTGGAATTCCGGAGAACGGGGGTTGAAAACTTTTGTTTGAAAACACAGATTTCAGGGTGGCGGAAACC